AAAACTACGGAGGGCACTGTCTGGACGTCGTAATCGGTGACCTGGGATACGTGGACATCCAGTTCAAGGTATTAATACACCTAGACACCGAAAATACGGACCGCACTGTCTGGACGTCGTCATCGGCGACCTGGGATACGTGGACATCGAGTTCAAGGTATTAATACACCTAGATATATCAATCACGAGACATCACGAGACACGTTATCACGAGACACGTTATTATTAAATAAATCGGTACAATAAGATTAGGTTCACTCTATTTACCGGCGCTCGTATAAGTCGGTAACGTCAGCCGCGCTTGCGAGCGCCACGTGCGGCAGAAATATGAAAAGGAGGTTGACGACGACGACGACGTATCTTAAAAATTACGTGAAAATTCAGACCCGTGGACTTTGCATTGCAATATCTCTACTCATGGGGCACGTAGGAGAAAAGTAAAAACACTTTTATTATGCAAATCGTACCCAAGCTATCGATTAAGCGCAGTCTCAAGTTCGTCGGATCAGCCGTTGTTGAGATCCGAAATTCTGAGGGCCCGTCAACTCGCATACTCGCGTAAACTACACAGTCGGTGTCGCGCGCGTGATTTTAGCTTGTCGCTTAATTGTTGTCGCTTATACTTGGCGCGAGACACTACCGTGTCTCGTGATACCTAAAATTTTAAAAAGTAATAAAACTGCACCGGTGACGGGTATGTCGGCGGCGCGCCGATGTCAGCAGAAAAAATACACCGGTATTTAAATACTACGTTTTCTAATGGAACGGTGGCATCGGGTACGTCGGCGGCGGGTACGTCGGCTGCACATACGGTGTCGTCGGCTGTATGTACGGTGTCATCGGGTACGCCGGTGCCGGTGCCGCGTACGTCGGCGTTGGATATGTCGGTGCCGCGTACGTCGCCGTTGGATATGCCGGCGTCGGCGGCAGGTACGCCGGCATCGAATACGCCGGTTGCGGCGGCGGCGGCGGCGACGGCATCGGATACGCCGGTGGCGGCGGCGGCGGCGGCGGCATCGGGTACGCCGGTGGCGGCGACGGTCTCATCTTTTTCCTCTGCTCTTTCATCATCACTCGGCGAATGATCGCTTTCAGCCTCTGAAACATATAAAGTTATACGAAGGTTATAAAAGTAAATTTACGTATATTACAAGTATATTAAAAGTATATTCACGAATCGCACATTACGAATTGCGCGTAGTCCGGCGCTAGCTTAACACACTCACACGCCACACAAAGCATGCACATGCACATGTACATCCTGCACGAAATCATACATGCACTCCTTGTCTTATTTTTTACTTACTCTTTGGCTTTGGTACCGGGGCCTAGGCCCCCATGTGGACGCCGCCGCCGTCGACGTCGTCGCCGTCGTCCGTGGCAATGTCGACGTCGTTGCCACCGTTGCCGTCGTTGCCGTCGTCGCTGTTGTTGTCGCCCTCGTTGTCGCCCTCGTCGCCGTCGACGTCGTTTGCGACGACGGCGACGTCGTGGGTGGCATCGTTCCCGATCGTCGGGAACCTACACTTTTAGCAGAAAATAAATTATTTGTAATCATTATAACATATATATATGTACATGTATATATGTGTGTACGTGAATACTTACATCTTCCGCCCCTCATTTCCAATTTTTCGCCCTTCTTGTTCGCACAACTGCCAACGACTGCTGCAACAGGCCGCACGTAAACAAATGAAGCGCGCGGTATCCATGCCAGTAACGACGCGCAAAAACGGCACTTTCGCGATGTCACTCGTTTCGTGCGTGTCGCGTGACATTTCACACGTGTAACTGTGCGATTTTAGCGAGTGTTATTTTCATTGGTAAGTATTACTACTTTATTATTTTATAACGTTGATGTATAGATGTATTAGTTATTAATATTTTCTTACAGCTAAAGATCAAAATGAAAGAGGATGCCGTGGCATTGCCGAATTGAATAAAATGTGAAATCTATCTTATCTACTTAGTAAAAAAATAACCTCAATATAAATCGATATTGAAGAAAATATTTTTACCATATAAATTGTCTGTGACATTTCATAAGTTGACAACTTCTCATATGGACAACTTCTCATATTTATTATTTTTAATTTATAATTTTTTGATTTTTTCATGTTTAAATATGACTCAATCAATAACATCAGCATCTTTGTACATATGTATAATTACTTAAATTTTTTTAGATATATCGGCAAAGATGCAAGAGTACCTTTATCACTGTGCAATGTACCGTCCCTGAACGCGCGAACTTTAGACTACCTGATTTGTCTATTATAAATGCTTCCCATTTGAAAAGTAGGTAATTATATAGAATAACGGACCACCCTCCAATCTCGATGACCTTGACATATGTTGTCAAGGTCATGACCCTGAGTGACCTTCAGAAGGTTTTAGCCGTCGCTCGTGGTTCGTTAAAAAGTTATTAACAAAAATGTTTAATGAATAGAATACGGTTTCTAATATTTATCTCACCAAATATTAAAAATTTTGAAAAATGTTTTAAACAAAAGTTGTAGATCTCTTTGAGATATGCATTTTACGTCCTATTTATTTTTACTGTACGAGTGATAGTTTTCGAGAAAAATGATGGACTTAAACACGTAAGTTGCAAGTGCGTTTAGCACGGCGCGCTGCGCGCGCCCCACCCCCTCCCGCCCCCTCTCCACATCCTCCTACCCCCTCCCCCCTCCCCCTCCCCGCCCCACCCCCTCCGCCCCTCCCGCCCCCACCCCTC